CCACCCGCCTCGGCCTCCCAAAGTGCTGGGATTACAGGCTTGAGCCACCGCGCCCGGCGCAGGTATTTGATTTTAATAGAAGGGCAGTATATGACTAGTAATGCTAAAGATACTATTAGCTGATAAGTGACTATCCCATTTTGAATGCTCTCAGAAGCCTGATTGCCTAGAGGTCTCCTACAAGAAATTCTTTTGTAAACTGAAGGATCCTTTTACAATTAAGTAACTGCTCCTTAATTGATGTACTTGTGAAGTCAAATTTATATGTTTATTTATTTATCTTAAATCAAGACAGACTAGTGAGACTAACCTCATGCTTTAATATGTAATGTGGAAGTGTGATAAAATATTAGTCCAAATAAGAAATCCTGCTTTTCATTATCCCATATAGAAGTGATTTGGGTAAACATTATGTTATTATTCAGTAACAGGTAATGTGAACTAAACTTGAACAGTGATACAGGTTGAGCAGCAGTGAGAAAGTGGCTGTAAGCTCATTCAAATTTTCTTAAGCGTCCAGTCAAAAAAGGCAGGTAGAAAAAACGCCAACTTGCCTTCATAATGGCTAATTATAGAAAAAATCATGAAGCTAGAAGTATACATTTCATGTTTAATTTTGCTTGCTATTTTAGTGTAAGAACAAAGGATTAAAGCTAAATTAAAGAGCATTTGGTTTTTTGGCAGTGTTTTGTCACTACGGTTAGCCTATAAGGATCTTGAAATTCAGATGAAGAAAGACGAAAAGATGAACATGAGTGGCAAAACAAATGTTGACTCAGACAGACTTGGCATGGGATTTGGAAGTTGCAGAAGGTATGTGAGACTGCTTTCTTGGAGTTAGAATCAAAGCCAATTTGCGAATCATCAGTGGATTTTTCTTGGACTGTGTTACTTTCAACTTTAGAGATACTTTCTTGTTATTCCTTATCTTCTCTAATTGTTTTTGCTTTGCTGTTATTCAGTATGACATGCAAAATTTCAAATTTGGTTCTTTAAAAAAAGGAAAAAGGTCTGACTCTTCATGAAACACACAGCAGAGTGGAAGCCATGAACATAACCAGTATTTGTGACCATATTTTATGTAGATACAGTCCTCATAGAACTTTAACATTTTTGATAGCTTGCACCAGAAAAGCTTTGTTTTATTGCTTATGTTTTTAACCCCTCTCATAAATTTGTCTTTGTTCAAAATATAGATTAAAGCTTTCTTTATTTTGGAAAAACAAAAGTTTGTGAACTTACTGATTTATATATTTTTCTGTTTTCTCAAGTGGTATTTCACATTCAGTGACTTCAGATATGCAGACCATAGAACAGGAATCACCCATCATGGCAATACCAAGAAAAAAGTATAATGATGACAGTGATGATTCATTTTTTACTTCCGGCTCAAGGTATTCTATTAAAAATCATTGTTAAAGTGTCATTTTGAAAAGCAGTGTATAGTATGGATTTATTAGTTTATTTGCATTAGGAGAAATTCCAAATCAATTTACTTCATTGTTTTTAAAAGCTTTAGCTGGAGCCAAGGCTATTCTTTGGAATAAAAATTAGAGAAACATTTGTGAAAGGACAATGTTTGCTAATATTAAAATGTTTGATAATAAAATCAGCAACTGTGATTAAAATTGGAGGTAGGAGAGATGTGTTTATTTAAATTATGAAATTGGAGAAAGCTGCCTAATTCCGAAGGTATATGTTACTTTGCTTTAGTCCAGCAGTTGGAATATTACACCGCTCTTTCTCAGGGCTTCAGCAGATTTCTGTGTTTCAGAATGCCAGTTTCAGAAAACTCCAATTGGCAGAATAGAGTGTTAAATAAACTCTCTCTCTCTCTGTGTACTGACTAATGAGGAACATGATTGCACTTTGAGGGGATCCCAGAGTAAAGCCTAGGTTCCTCTCCTTCAGCACTCACTGTCTGATGGAGACAAGATGCATAACTCTAGTATGAAGCAGACTGTAGAGAGTAGTTCACGGTCAAGTGGCCTGTCAGGGCAAAGAGAACATGTTTGAGCTTGAGTCAATTCACTTTGTAAGGCTCCCTCAAGAACTTGCCCAGCCCAGGGGGAGGTCTGCTAAAAAGGCACCAAATGAACCTGTGATTTCACTGGAAAGGGCACGGCATAGCGCAGGAACAGAGGGGTAAGAATGTGGGCCCAGGGGCCAGATGGCATGGGTTTGAATCCTGGCTCTCACTGGTGTGACCTGGGCCAAGTTATTTAATTTCTTTGTGCTGTAAGCTTCCTCATCTGTGAATTAGGGACCCTAGTAGTACTTACCCCTTAGGGTTGTGTGAGGATACTGCAAATACTACAGCACATTTACAATGGTGCTTGGCTCTTGGCTGCTATACGATAATATAGAAACTCAGTTTAAGAGACACGTGATTCAGTCTAAATGTTTTTGTTTGTTTTTGAGATGGAGTCTCACTCTGTCACCCAGGCCAAAGTGCAGTAGCATGATCTCGGCTCACTGCAACTTCCACCTCCCAGGTTTAAGTGATTCTTGTGCTTCATCCTCCCAAGTAGCTGGGACTACAGGCATGTGCCACCACACCTGGCTAATTTTTGGTATTTATAGTAGAGATGGGGTTTTGCCATGTTGGCCAAGCTGGTCTCAAACCCCTGGCCTCAAGTGATCTGCTGGCCTCAGCCTCCCAAAGTGTTGGGATTACAGTCATGAGCCTAAATGTTTAATTACTCATGTTAGGTAGTTAAACTAACCACATTGAGGACCACCTTTGGGTTAGGAGTTCATGAAAATGGAAGACGTGCCTGTCAGTAATGGGTGTTGCTTACCAGAAGGCTCCATCACTTATGTCTCTGAGGGCATTAGAGTTGTCTAATAACTTATAGGCTTGAGAGGTTTTCATTTGTATAGAAGATATATATGTGTATATATACACACACATGCACTTCATATATAGAACAGATATAAATAATATTAACTAGAATCTAATTGTGAAATTATAAATTTTCCAATCAATGTTTACAGACAAGGAACTTTATAAAGAATACCATCCTTAACAATGTCTCTAGGTATAGCTCCAAATTATTTCAAGTCCAGGGATTTTACAAAAAAATATATATATATATAGTTTAGTGGTATTCCATGCCGATACTTTCAGAGACTTGGATGGTTTTATGTTTGCCTATCCTTTGCAGCCTCTATAATGCACCAAGTTTCACTTTACTCAGAAGTGATACCCAAATCATGTCTTTTAAAGGTACATAAATAGATTTTACACAATAAAACTAAATTTTTAATTTGATTTGGAAACTGCATGCATGTGGAATCATTTCAAATACGAATATTAAATGAGGGACTGAGTCTGGGTCAGAGGACACTCTTGGCAGTACGGGGTCTGTATTTGCCTGTGTGGCTTCTCCACAGCATCTTTCATTATTTCACTGCTTATTAGCAACCTCTGCAGATGATAGTGTAGGAACGTAAAGAACGGTTAGGCTGGGCATGGTGGCTCACACCTGTAATCCCAGCACTTTGGGAGGCTGAGGCAGGAAGATCACTTGAGCCCATGGAGTTCAAGACCAGACTGGGAAATACAGTGACACCTCATTTTTACAAAAAAAATTCAAAAATAGGCTGGGCGCGGTGGCTCAAGCCTGTAATCCCAGCACTTTGGGAGGCTGAGGCGGGTGGATCACAAGGTCAAGAGATCGAGACCATCCTGGTCAACATGGTGAAACCCCGTNTGATCACAGCTCACCTCAGCCTCAGCCTCCCATGCTCTGGTGATCCTGTCTCCTGGGCTAGAGTGCAGTGGCGTGATCACAGCTCACCTCAGCCTTGGCCTCCCAGGCTTAGGTGAGCCTCCCAAGTAGTTGGGACTATAGGCGTGCCACCATGCCCCATTAATTTTTTTCTTTTAATCCCCAGAGATGGTCAGGAACCAGTTAATTATGTTTTTTTGTTTTTGCATTTTTTTGTAGAGATGGGGCTGTGCCATATTGCTCAGGCTGATCTGGAACTCCTGGGCTCAGGCAATCCACCCACCTCGGCCTCCCAAAGTACTGGGATTACAGGCGTGAGCCACTGCGCCTGGCTGGTCGACGGTCACTTTTTCTCAAGGCTGTGGCACATCCACCTCACTTGTCAGTCTCTCCTGTTCCAGGCAGACTTTGTTGCTCTTGGTCAAAGATTTTCTTCTAATCACACAGAACCAAAAGCTGCCACTGAGTGCTGCTCTCTGAGCAATACCCTGCTCAGTGATAATTGGCTAATTAAAGTATAAACTGATCCCAAGGCCAGGCTCTCCAGAGATGCTTGCAAATCAGATCAAGTTTGCTGCAGGCTCCAGGCTGAAAGAGTATCTGCAGAATGGTCCAGTGATCCACGATCTGTAGCTTTGTATCTAACTCCAGGAGAAGGTTAATTAGCATCATTTATATCATTTTCATTCAATGTGTGTAACATGGAAGGGATTGCCAACAAGAAACTCCTTGTATGGAGTCAGTTCTCCAGTCCCAGCAGTGTTATTTGTGACTGCCTAACCAGGCAGAACGAGACCTAAAGAAAATGAAATGTATAACCTGTGGTGGATAACATTTAAAGATGTCCTTTGTTTTCTGGATAGGCTAGGTTATACTAAGGTAGCAAACATCCTCCCAGACAGACCTCAAGGGCTTAACACATGGCAGTTGATTTCTTTTTCACATAAAGTCAGCTGAGGGTGCAGGTGGTTCTCCAGGGTTCCTGTCCTATATGTGTCACCTTGATTATCCGGACTGATGGAGGTTTCACCTGCCTGAGACTGTAGCACCTAGAAGACACAATCTCTTCCATGTAGCTAGGGAAGATAGCACGGGCAACGTTGAACACAAGCATGACACACCTCGTGTCTGCTCCTGTCTCATTGGCCAGACCTAGATATGTGGCTACCCCTAACTTCAAGGAGGCATCCCCCACATCCGTAGAAGTGACAGAACCCAGGACGAGCGTCAGCAAGGGCTTCCCAAGTCACTGCTGTACTCTTGCTCATACAGGTACTTTGACGAACCAGTGGAGTTAAGCAGCAGTTCTTTCTCTAGCTGGGATGACAATTCAGATTCCTATTGGAAAAAAGAGACCAGCAAAGATACTGATACAGTTCTGAAAACCACAGGCTATTCAGAGAGGTATGTACGACAAAACTGTGGGGTTGTAATAGTGAATCCATGCATTTCTGGGAAAAATTTACTGATAAGATGATGATATGAAAATCTTTCATAAGGGGCTGGGCACAGTGGCTTGTTCTTGTAATCCCAGCACTTTAAGAGGCCAAGGTCAAAGGATCACGTGAGCCCAGGAGTTCAAAGCTGTATACAGTGAGCTACAGTTGCACCACTGGGCTCCAGCTTGGGCAACAGAGCATGACCTTGTCTCTCAAAAAAAAAAAAAAAAAAAAGAAAAAGTTAAGTGAAATCAGTACTGTTGCTTGGTAGCTGGGCTGGTAAGAGAGATCTAAGTGGGGTGCCTAATGGAAACTTCAGAGATTCTCACTGGCTCCCCGCCACTGACAGGCCGCTGTGCAGCTTTATTTGCCTTGTACAGGCGTCAGTGATCTTCCAGACTTCTCCTTCTTCAAGGGCTTAATCAAAAGAGTTAGCCATAGCAGCCACTGTTGCTATGAAACAGTTATTTATGGTTTAAAACCTGGGAGCAGATGGCATATTTATCTAGACCACACTTCTTGAACTCTTGCCAGAGAGACTTAGATGTGTTGTTTCTTGTGACCTGCAGATTGTCTAACAGGAACACAGATGCCCTCTCTAGTCCTCCTTGGTAGGGTGACCACCATTAGTAGAACGGGGGTACTATTAGGTACTTTGGCAACTGAGGTAAAATAAACATGGACTCTGAAAGCAAAGATATTAGTTCCATGAAGAGCTCTTACTGCTTTCAAATGATTCATTAGCCCATTAGAACTTGAATATTATGAATTATGAAAGAGTTCTGTTTCTGTTAAAAATAAGATAAAACCTGTCCTTGTTTTTCTTTTATGATTGAGTTCCATTATTTCCAGGGCATAAAGAGTATAATTATATCTTGAGTACAAGATAATGAAACTAGAACAATTTGCTCAGCCTTACAAAGTCAGCGTGGCTGTCGTTAGAATAGACAACTGTCTATAGCTGTAAATCAGACAGAATGTGATATTAGGGTGCTCTTATCAAGGGATTTTAAGGAATGTTTTCAGCATTGGGTAAAGGCAGAGTTGGAGGGGAGAAAGAAAAGTTAAAAAGCATTAAGAGCTATACAGTCAAAACATTAGAAAGCTAATAAAGGTTTGGAGATGAGGAAGTGAAGTCTGTGTGTTTCTGGGCAGGGACCAGTGGCCATTAGCCGTTCCACTCACCCCATCCTTCCAAGGGTCAACTGGGGGCCTGGCTGGTGGTCTGTCCGTCCCCTTAGTGAGTTGGCTGTCTCCCCCGCTGAGTTGTTCCTGCTTAGCATGAGCACAGAGAGCCTCTCATGGGCGACGAGAAGGAAGAGAAGGTGCCCCAAGCCCATGCACAGACTGCTGCCTCACAGGCTCATGCTGGTCAGGGGGACCCAGGCCGATGGCTGTCTCTCTCTCTGTCTCTCCTTTGACTTCTGAAAAGTCTAGTCACTTCAAAGTAATCGGATTCCCCTAATTTCAGGGTATTTCTTATAAGCACAGTGGCTTATAAAAATTAAGAATGTTATTTCCTTAGAGTGTTGCTAAATCTACAAAACTCTAAGTGCCAGTATCTCAGAGTCGTAAAGAACCTGGAAGTTCCAACCCACCCTCACCCTGCGCCAGTCCAGTGCTGACACCCACTCTTCCCACCCCAGGGCCATCCAGCCTCTACTGCACCCTTCCTTCTCCTCAAGACAGTCGTTTGGTCCCAGGGCAGCTCCATGAGAAATGCTGCCTTTCATGAACACTGCTTTTGGGGCTTCTGCACTCAAGTCAGCCTCCCTTCCGTAAGCCAGTTCCCAAACCCCATGAGGGCAGGAGCTGAATGTGCCTTCTTGCCCTGTGTCTTCCCCTAGCAGAGCACCTGACTCCTCATAGGTGCTTATTAAGTAGCTTTAAAACTCCTCATTGAATTGGTCTTAGTTTTTTCATGGTCCCTTGAAATAAACCCCTCAAACATGTGAATATCACCTTCCAGGCTAGCACACATCCCGCATCTTTTGAACCTTCCTCTGATGTAACTTCCAGTTCCTTCAATGTCATGATCTCTCTTCTCTGAAAGGGGATCGGTTGTCTCTATTCCTTGAAGCAGAGCCTGGGTATAGTACAGATCCACTCATAACCATAGGGAGAGCCCGGTCGGTTTCTAACTGAAATCCAGATACACTTTGAACACTGCGTTTTCTTTCCCAAGGAGAAGATGCTAGTGTAACAAGATTTGTTCTTAATGACCTTGCCAGAGAAGGCAGAAGCCACATTTAGAAATTCTACTTTCTGTCTATTCAGGATGTAATATCATACCATCTGCTCTAAACAGCAAGTTTATCCTCTGTCTCTTTTTTGTTTTGTTTTCTGCCAAGAAAGAGTAAATTTGTTCTTAGCATTTCCCTCCACTCAGATCTTAGCTCACCTAGGTCCCTGGCCTCTTTGCTCTTAGGGTTCTTGCTTCCCTCTTATGTTGGGCTTTGGCTACTGGCCCCTCTGACCTCCTATCATCTCCGTCTTTTGTGCAGCTCCTTATAGCACAGAGCTTGGTGCTCGCCTTGTTTCCTGTGTGCCTCCTGTCCTTACCCTCTGGAGAAAGCCTGGATGATGTCTGTTAAGGCCTCTATGCTCTTCTGTCACCCTTCCTTTCCTAACACGTCCCTGGGATCTGCCTCTCTTCTCTGAACTTCTTGGACTGCCTCCGTGAGGTGTGTATATCTGATCAGACTGCTTTTCCATCCTAAGCTGTCATGAATTCTGGCATGGCACGGTCACTGTTGTTTTGTTGTTTTTTTTTTT